AATAATAATAAATAAAAGAAAAAGGAAAATATGTTCTAAATAGTATGACTGGGTTCAATAGGATTTGAAACGGTGTATGATTTCAAATCATTCTATTTCAATGATATCGAAGGCAGAATTCATTTGAAATTCAACTGGATTCGAAATCACTCAAAATTGACAGAATGGGAACATACTTCAGGAATTTTGTGTTTTAGTGCTCCTAGAATCTGGTAAAGCTCTTATCTTATGCGGTTAACAATTTATTTACACCCAAACTGTTACAAGGTTTAGAATCACATTTCTGTATTCTGGAATCATATTCTGCTCAAGTTTGATTCCGTTCCACTGACATTAACATCTGAATTTGCTAGCTTTTCCCCCCTGCTTTTATACTTGTCATGTAAATTGTTACTCACCTTAAATTTGAACTCTTTTATTTGGCATGGTTTCTTGAGTTCAGCCGGCATTTATACTGATGAGGGAAGCATGTTCTGTGGTTTAGAGCTAAAGCCCAAATCCACGTCAAGAAATTTCTTCTGTACATTTGATTGTGTAAGCCTTGGACTCAGCCATGAATAACCTGACTGTTGAAACAGAAGATGCCTTTTCCAGTTTGCTTGAACTTGCTGCTAACGATGACATTGATGGCTTCAAGAAATCGATTGAACGTGACCCTTCTGGTATTGATGAGATTGGTCTATGGTACGGCCGCTTGCGAGGCTCGAAGCAGATGACTAATGAGCAGAGAACTCCTTTAATGGTTGCTGCTACTTATGGGAGCATTGAGGTTCTGAAGCTTATTCTTTCTCTTTCTTTTGCTGATGTAAACCGGTCCGTTGGTCTTGACAGAAGCACTGCCCTTCATTGTGCAGCCTCAGGTGGGGCTGCAAATGCTGTAGATATTGTGAAGCGGCTCTTAGCTGCTGGTGCTGATCCGAATATGGTCGACGGGAATGGACATAGACCGGTCAACGTGATTGTTTCCCCCCTAAGGCATGCGGAGCTTAAATCAACTCTGACTGAGCTTCTTAAAACAAATGGTTTGTCTGGTGAAGGAAATCTGGCTGTTTTAAGAGGGGCTGGAAATTCACATTCTCCTTGCCCTTCGTCTCCTTTGAATGTACCATCATCTGCTTCGGAGTTAGTTTCTTCACCAACAAAGTCGAAACTGAGCGATTTTCCTATGTATTCTGGATCTGAGAAGAAAGAATACCCTGTTGATCTTTCTCTTCCAGACATCAAGAACAGTATCTACTCAACCGATGAGTTCCGAATGTACTCGTTCAAGGTTCGACCCTGCTCGCGTGCTTACTCTCATGATTGGACCGAGTGTCCCTTTGTCCACCCTGGAGAGAATGCTAGGAGAAGGGATCCAAGAAAATTTCATTATAGCTGTGTACCCTGTCCCGACTTCCGGAAGGGGGCTTGCAGACGTGGAGATATGTGTGAATATGCTCATGGGGTTTTCGAGTGCTGGCTGCATCCAGCTCAATATCGGACCCGTCTTTGCAAAGATGGCACGAATTGCTCGAGGAGAGTCTGCTTCTTTGCACACACCACCGATGAACTGCGGCCTCTATATGTCTCAACTGGTTCTGCTGTTCCCTCTCCACGTTCTTGTACTTCTGGTATGGATTATAACACAGTCATGAACCTTCTTCCTGGTTCTCCATCTTCAGTGCCTGTGATGTCTCCATCACCATTCACTCCTCCAATGTCTCCCTCTGCCAATGGCATGTCGCACTCGTCCATGGCGTGGCCCCAACCGAACGTCCCTGCCCTGCATCTCCCAGGAAGCAATATTCAATCTAGCCGCCTAAGATCGTCTTTGAGTGCAAGAGACATTCCTGTTGAGGACTTCGATTTTCTGGGTGATTTTGATATGCAACAACAGCAACTACTTAATGACTTCAATTGCCTTTCTCAACCACCGTTGAGTTCAAACTCACTGAACCGTTCTGGTCGGTTGAAGACTATGACTCCTTCGAATCTTGATGATCTCTTCTCTGCTGAGAGTTCGTCTCCCAGATACTCTGATCAGGCTTTGGCTTCAGCTGTTTTCTCCCCAACACATAAATCAGCAGTTATCAATCAATTTCAGCAGCAACAGAATATGTTGTCACCAATTAATACAAATTTCTCTCCTAAAAATGTTGACCACCCTCTATTGCAGGCCTCTTTCGGGGTTCCATCATCTGGGAGGATGTCTCCGCGAAATCTCGAACCCATCTCCCCGATGGGCTCTCGCTTGTCCATGCTGGCTCAAAGAGAGAAACAGCAACAGTTTCGCAGCCTCAGCTCCCGTGAGCTTGGTGCCAATTCTTCTATTGTTGGTTCCCCTGCAAGCTCTTGGTCCAAATGGGGAGCTTCCAATGGAAGGCCTGATTGGGCAGTCAATGCAGATGAAATGGGTAAACTTCGGCGATCATCTTCATTCGAGCTTGGCAACAATGGAGAAGAACCAGATCTATCATGGGTTCAATCACTTGTGAAAGAATCTCCAACTGAGATAAAAGAAAAGCAAGCTCAACCCGGTTCGGGTGCCGATAGTTACGTTTCTTCTGGGGAGAGTTCTTCTAACGTGAACTCGCAAATGGAGTCGGTCGATCATACTGCATTGGGAGCATGGCTTGAACAGATGCAGCTCGATCATCTTGTCGCTCAACAAAACTGAAACCATTCTCAGTTAAGGTAGTTAACAACAGTAATATTTTGGTATATAACATGCCGTTTTCTTTTCCTTTCGATTTTTGTCGTCGGGCACGGGAAGAAAAGATGCATAGTAACAAGGCTATAGAGGGGAGTTTAGTCACCCTCACTCAGAAGGAGACTATTCATTTTTACCATTTTTAGTACACCAGAAAGTAAGTCAGGAAGGTGAAGGAAAAAAAAAAAAAACCCTTAGTTGTTAATGTCGAAAAATTTAGAACCCAGGTTAGGTTTTATTCTTTAGCTTTCAATATTTTGAAAAGTTTTTAGATCTACAAGGTTGCCCATTTATTTTTTTTTGGTTTCCCTGTTGTGAGGAGCATCATGTTTAATTGTAATGAACATCATATCACATTCACATCTTAATTCATCACTTCATTCATTTACAAAACCAAGCAATTCCCACTTCTTTCTACAACTTTCTAGTCATTAGCTATCTGAAAAAAGTTTGATTGGAACTTTGTTTGGAGAAGGAACTTGATTCTGAAGTAGTGGGTTTGATCCTCTTTTTATCTTTTGTGAAGATAAGAAAATGGATTCTTTGTAGATTATCCCTAAGGAATTGATTAGATTGTGGGAATTTGGGAGTAATTTTCTAATGGTTGTGTCATTATCAGTTGATGTTGATTTGTTTGAAGGATCAGTTCTTGGATGAGAATTGTTTAAATGATGTTTAGATATGTTATTCATGTGCCCAAATATTTATATAATCTTATTTGTTTTCTTTTAATATTTTCTGTATCATTTGGATTACATGTAATTTAGGGATGACAATGGAATGGGACGGGGTCGAGGGCAATCCCCATCCCTGCCCCTGTTGGGGATTTTTTCCCGTTTCCATCCCGTCTTCGAAATTTTAGGGTGGGGACACGTCTCTATAATTGGATTTTTAATTTATTTGTTTTTAAAGAATATACCTAGTTTCTTTGTTAAAATATGTATAATTAATTACCATTAGTAATTAAATACAATTAAAATGTTTTTAATAGGTTGGTTTTTTAATCCAACCGATCTTTAATTGTTACAAAAATTATAAAAATTAAAATTAGGGCAAGAGAGAGGAAATGAAATTTGAGGTTTTTCAATTTGATAAAAATATTTCAATTTGATAAAAATATTTATTAAATTCAATATATTAATATTTTATATATATAATAATTAAAATATTAAATAGGGTGAGGTTGGGTATGGGACGAAGATACCCTTCCATATCCTTGTCATTGCTGGGGACACCTAGTAAAATTTTCGACCTCGTATCAAATGGGGGATTCTCGACCTGATCGGGTGGATTTTCGTGGGGTTCGGTCCCACCGAGTTTTTTGTCATTTTACATTGATTATTTGATAATTAATCTATAGCTAAGAGGCGTATTTAGTATCTTATTAATTTGGAATCAAATGGAGTTGGGTTAGTTTATAAAATGAAATTTTTGTTTGCTTTTATAAGAATTAGATTTAAATGTTTATTTTATTTTAGTCTGGTCCTAAATTTTTTTTAATAATAATCATTTTGGATTCTTAAAATTTTAAATGTTTATTTTAGACTTGGGACATTTTGAAAATAACTACTTTAGTTGGTGTTATTATTTTGCAACTTAATAAATATCTACTGAAGCCGGCCCATTTTATTTATTAATTTCAATGTATCTATATCGGCACAATAATACAATTTTTAAATGCAAAATAATAGTGAGGTTAAAATAGTTATTGTTATTCTGTTTTAAAGTTTAGTATAATTAGGGACTAGATATTTTAAAAGTTCAGCTAAAGTAAAAATGAATAATTTGGCTTAAATTTAAAAGTTATTATTTTTGAAGTAAGAAAGTTAAAATTACTTAAATTTCTAAAAGTTACAATTTTGTGATTAGTAATGAGTAGGGTAATATTTCGAAATGGTTAATAATATCAAACAATTGTCTTAGATAATTTTAGAGTAACTATTAGTCTTTAAATTAACTTAGGTTGGTCCAGTGTGTAATAAAATTGTTATAAAATACAATGATTAATATTAAATTAATAATGTCAAACATTTGTCTTAGCCAACCTAAACATAGCTCTCAGTCGTGAGTTTCAATCTTCACCTCCAGTATTAAAAAATATATATATTAAGTTAAAGTAACAAATATAAATTTTAATTAAAAATTTTGAATCTAAAACGAGTACAGCTTAGCAGTAATTAGAATATATCTCCAACTAATAATACTAAAAAAAATTGAAGATAATTGATTTTATGTTATTTTTAGCTATGCTCATTTTGGCATCAACTAAATGTCGCCTTTTAACTTTCCAACTAATTTTAAAGAAAGATGAGAGTGGGTTTTTAAGAAAGATGTTTCAATAGTCTGGTATGAAATTGAGAATTTCCCACCATTTTTTTTACCAAAAAAATGTTAATTATTAATTAACAGAATTTTGAACTAGGAAAAT